CTCCCTCCCTCCCTGCCCCCTCTCCGTTTTCACTTCCTTCTTAGCTCCTGTCTCCAGCCCTCCATCCCTGCCTCCCTGCCTTCCACCTCCCTCCGTCCTTCAGTCGCTACCTCATTACCGTCGTCTCTTTCTTTGCCCCTATCATTTTCCCGTCTCTTCCTGCCTCCTTCCTTCTGTCTCTCGATTCGCCCGACCCTTTCTCCCTCTCTCTCCGTTTCTGCCTCGCTCCTTTCCTCCTTTTCTGCCTCCCTACGCCACTCGGTCTCCCCTTTCCTCACCCAACAAACTCAAGTATGACATTTCACTCTCTCGCTGTATTGGTTGGTTTTACGCTGTATTTTTCTCTGGTTTGATTTTGGTTTTTCTTTTGACTGGACAATTGTCCTTATTTCCTGTCCTTTTTCAGAGACATGATGCGAAAAATGGTAAAAGAGATGAGGGTTGGAAGAGAATGAAGAGCTACCCGTCAAGATGGTTCCAATACGATTGTTTTTCTTGTCGAGTATTTTCCACCTCGAGTAACAACAACACGTCTTGTTTAACTTCAAAACCGGAATAAATGAAAAGTTAACTGAAACTATTTGGTTGATATGGCAGTCAGTGGGGTAAATGTCGTTTGCCGAAATGGGAATTTAACTAATCCCATAAGGACTCGCTGACGGCTTTTTTCAAAGCAATCCCAGGGTTGCCACGGTCAGGGAAAAGTCAGGGAAAATTAGTCTTTATCCAAGGTCAGGGAAAAGTCAAAGAGTTTTGTATCAGGTCAGAGAATTTCTAAATCCCTGTTCAAAGTCAGTGAAAAGTCAGGGAATTTTATGTTAAGGTTGCCTCAAATTATTTTATTAGATCTTTTCGTATAGACAAGGCAATTTTGTTTGAAAAATTCTCTGAGCCATCCTTGTTTTTTGTTGATTCATGGCCAAAATAGTCATCCTGCACGTTCAGTGAAAATGGCGTTACAGTCAGGGAAAAGTCAGGGATTTTTTTTTTTTGTTCCGGTGAGTGGCAACCCTGATTCCGGTTATTCTTTAGATCGATTCTAGATTATTCTCGTACCCATAGTCCTTTTTGCTTCTCTTAGCCGGCGGGGCCTTGGCGCGAGAAGAGAAGCGAAAAGGGCCATGAGGGCGAGAATCGATTCCCAG